GACCTGCCAACAGTAATCAAGGTTCAACTACAAGAGGAGGGTGTACTCAGCACATGTGAAAAGTGTACCTCGAGGACCCAGCTTGGGTGATAGGGGAGGCTGTGCCACTGGACCCTACAGGACACCTACTACATTAAGCTACACTACCAAGACAGGGAGTCATAGCTGCTCTACTTAATACATAGAAACAGACATAGGAAAGCTGCCAAAATGAACAGAGGAAAAAACATGGCCCAAATGAAAGAACAGATCAAAACTCCAGAAAAAGAACTAAATAAAACAGAGATAAGGAACCTATCAGATGCAGAATTCAAAACACTGCTTGTAAGGATGCTCAAGGAACTTATTGAGGACCTCAATAGCATTAAAAATGATCCAGTCAGAAATTAAGGATACACTCATTAAAATAAAGAACAATTTACAGGGAAACAACAGTAGAATGGATGAAGTTGAGAATCAAATCAATGATTTGGAACATAAGGAAGCAAAAAACAACCAATCTGAACAACAAGAAGAAAAAAGAATCCAAATAAAATGAATATAGTATAAGCAGCCTCTGGGACAACTCCACATCATAGGGGATGTCAGAAGAAGAGAGAGAGCAAGAAACTGGAAATATATTTGAAAAAATAATGAAAGAAAACTTCCTTAATTTGGTGAAGAAAACAGACAAGCAAGTCCAGGAAGCATAGAGAATCCCAATTATGATGGCTGCAAAGAGGCCTGCTCCAAGACACACCATAATTAAAATCCGAAATGTTAAAGAGAGTCTTAAAATCGATGAGACAAAAGCAGTTAGTTACCCACAGGAGAATTCCCATAAGACTATCAGCTGACTTCTTAAAAGAAACTTGGCAGGCTAGAAGGGATTGGCAAGAAATACTCAGTCATGAAAAACAGGGACCTAGAGGCAACATTGATCTGCCCAGCAAAGCCATCATTTAGAATCAAAGGGCAGATAAAGAGCTTCGCAGACAAGAAAAAGCTGAAGAACTTTGTCATCACCAAACCATTATTATAGGAAATGTTAAAGGGACTTATTTAAGAAAAAGAAGAAGATCAAAACCATGAACAATAAAATGGCAATAAATACACATCTGTCAACAACGGAATCTAAAAAACAAACTAAACAAACCAGTAGAACAGAGACAGAATCGTGGATACGGAGAGTGTTTTGATAATTGTCAGGGAGGAGGTTGTGGGGGAAGTGGGTGAAGAGGTGATGGGATTAAGAAGCACAAATAGGGCCCTGGCTGGTGTGGCTCCGTGGGTTGAGTGCCAGCCTGATTCCCAGTCAGGGCACATGCCTGGGTTTCAGGCCAGGTTCCCAGTAGGGGGCGCTCAAGAGGCAACTGCACAACATCCATGTGCAGTTGCCTCTTGAGCGCCCCCTACCTTCCCTTCTCTAAAAATAAATAAATAAATAGCCTGAGCTCTTTGACAGCCCGAAGTTAAATTCTGGCTTTGCTTTTGAATAACTTCAGGTCAACTACTTAACCTCTCTGTGCAGATCCTCCTTCGTCTGTAAAATGGGCCTAATAATAGTATCTACCTCCCCCTGCCCCCGCCATGAGGTTGTGAGAATTAAATGAGTCAAAGCGCTGACAAAAGAGTCTGGCATGTGCTCAATGAATCTTAGCTGCTGTTTTTTTATGAGTAAGTCCTAGAATGTTAAACAGGAAGGAAGGTCATCCATATTTTGACCAGGAGGCAACCTGTGCAGACAAGTCCCCACCATGGCTTTTCCACTTTTTGGCTTCAGTTTTGGCCTCTTTTATGGAATGGAGATGGGGCAAATATTCCCGTGGGCCTCCCAAGCAATGGCTTTTCCTGGCAAACTTTTAAAAATAACTTTGATTTATTAATACTCTGTAAAGAAATATGTTTATCCACACACACGCTAAAATGGAAGCTCCACAGGACAGAAACTTTTTTTTCTGTTTGTTCCTTGCTGTGTCCACAGTGGTTACAGGGCACTGGAGATTCAGGCGAGCACAGCAGGTCTGGTCCCTGCTCTTTGAGCCCCACAGGGACAGACAGGTGCACCCACCCATATGGAGACAAAGGTCAAAGCAGCAACAAATACCATCCTTTCAGACGGTGAACTTGGTGGCTGCTGGGTCCTAGTCCTGGCTCCCTACTGCTGTGTGACCAGAGCAAGTGATGGCCTCTCTCTGAGCCTCTCTATTTATCCATCCTTGAAATTAGTATAATTATTGGGCTTACGCAATAGAAAAATGGGCAAAGGGTATGAACAGGCAATTCACAGAAGAAACATAAGTGGATCAATCAGCAAACAAAAAGGTGTATCGCTTCAAGGAAATAGGGAGGGAGATGTGCTCATTAAAATAAGTTCTCAAACCATTGTTTGGTAAAGGGGTGGAAAAGTAGCTTCTCAAAAATTGTGGTTGCAAATGTCAGTTAAAGGCAGCCTTCCTAGTGGAAGGAAGTGGGGCATTGTCAATTACAAGTTTTAAGATGAGCAATTCTATTTCTAGGAGTGGATCCCACAGTCACACGAGGGCTGCCCTGAGAAAGCCCAGCCATTGTTAATATAACGAGGATGGTTTGCATGACATTGATGCAACATGACAGCCAAGGAGAGTGGACTGGAATGCACATGCGTGAACAGTGATGACGTCACTGTACTCGTTGGTGAGGGCGGTAGATGGCATTGAATGAGCATGTGTACTGGGTGGCCATCACGTTCAAAATGACTGAGGGAGTAGAGCAACAAATCTGCATCAAATTTTGCGTTAAGCTTGAACACTCCACTGCAGAAACTATTTGCATGATCGAGAAGGCCACAGCTATGGGCAAGTGGTGACTGGCAGCTTCATCAGGACAACGCACCCACTCGTGCATCACGTCTCATGCAGAGTTTTTGGCCAGACATCAAATTACCCAGATGACTCAGCCCCCCTACAGCCCAGATTTGGCGCCCTGCGACTTCTGGCTTTTCTCAAAACTAAAATCACCTTTGAATGAGAAGAGATTTCAGACCATCAATGAGATTCCGGAAAACATGATGGGGCAGCTGATGGTGATCGGGAGAACTGTGTGAGGTCCCAAGGTGCCTACTTTGAAGGGGACTGAGGCATCATTGTCCTAGATACAATGTTTCTTGTATCTTGTATCTTCTTCAATAAATGTCTCTATTTTTCATAGTCCATGGCTGGATACCTTCTGGACACACCTCATGCATAAATACACAAGGACGTAACTGCAGCAAGGTCTATAATAGCAAAGGAAATAGTGAGCTGACAATAGGGTTAGATGATGAAACTTGCTACAGTGGAGTCTCATGCAGCTACTGCAGTAATAGAAATAGATGTCATCTAAATTTAGGTTAAGTGGCCAAATCCCTAGAACAAACACCACTTAGCAAAACTGACACAGGAAGAAGTAGAAAAGCTAAATACCACTATAACTATCAAAGAAATTCAATTCTTAATTAACATCTTTTCCATAAAGAAATCTCCAGACACAGATGGTTTAACCAAAAAAATTGATAAAGAATGCATAGTTCAAATCATGTAAATATAGTTTTACCTATATACTAGAATATGTATATGCATATGTAGTTATATATATTTATATAGTTATTAGATCCATATACATATGCAAACACATGAAGGATGCACATCAAACTGATTATGATGACCCGAGATAGGGGACTTGGGACTATCCCTTTATCTATATTGTTTCTGCTTTTATGAAACCACATTTGTGACCAAACAAAACTCCACCAAAGGTTAGATTCATTGAAGTAAAATAGCCAATGGTAGGAAAATAATATTGAGACCCACCCTGACATCTACCATCTGGTTCTGGACACTGCCGCACCCAAAGCCCTGGCTGGTGTGGCTCAGTGGACTGAGTGCAGGCCTGTAAACTGAAAGGTCATGGGTCGATTCCTGGTCAGGCCACAAGCCTGGGTTGCAGGCCAGGTCCCCAGTTGGGGGCCTGCAAGAGGCAACCAATTGATATTTCTATCGCTCTCTTTCTCCCTCCCTTCCCCTCTCTCTAAAAGTAAACAAAATCTTTAAAAAACAAAGCAAATTGCTCAATAAATGTTAGCCCAAAGGAAAAGCATTTCTCCCACTTTAACACAGAAGTAGACTCCACCATATATGTAACATTGTGCATTTATTTACAAAGAGGTTAGAGAAACACACAGAATCTGGCCCCCCTGTGCACCGGGGAGTCACCATCGTCATAATAAATACAGCAATTTTTAGAAAAGAAAAAAAAATGCTGGATTGGAATAGCTGAGGGTCATCCTGCGCTCCCCCCACTCCCTCTCATGGGGAGGGCGGGGGCCACAAGATAGAAACCACCTTCCTTCCCCTCTTCTCCTTCCCAACCCTCCATAACTGTCCATGGATAGAGGTAAAAGAGTTATTCTTTCCAGGTGTTATCAACTCCTACTTGACCCTCAAAATCCCAAAGTCAGGGCTCCTTCCCTTCCCAGGGCACTCTGCGGGCACCGTCGGGGAAAGACACAGCGTCTCCAGCCGAGTGCCAAGAGAATATCCTAGGGGGTCCAGAGACATGGATGGGGGCACTTTGTGTATGAGGGGGCCGTATCTGGGCACGGTGAGGAGGCCTAAGAGGGCTCGGGGAAAGAAGTGAAGGACATCAAACAGACTACGTGTCTACACTAAAATGGGGAAATTCCAACGGAATTGCCCCCTTCAGCATACCATAGTACACCCATAGTACAGAGGGGTAAAGTGAGGTCCAGAGGGAGGGGGCTTCCGTGCCCACCGGCCGCAGAGCCAGCCGCTGAGCTGGGTCAAGCGGGGCTCCTCCCCCATTCCTCCCTACGCTGGAGGGGGAGCCTTTTCAACCCAGACTGCAGTGAACGCGGGCAGTGAGGAAGGGTCTTTGGAAACCGAGAAAATGGAGGTCTTTGGAAGGGAGGTGTGGAAGGGCCAGTGATTGGGAGTGTGGTAGAACTGAGGCTATGAAGAGGGAGCCCAAGCAAACCCCCAAACTCACACTGTAGTCATGACCTTAAGAGAACCCGAACGGAAACGCAGTATCTTTTTCTTGAGCGCGTGGGAAGCCTTGATCTTCACAAAGACTTTGGCGGGGCCGGCGGGCGCCCCTCCACCCGCACCACCTCCTGGCCCGGAAGCCGCGGTGGCTGCCACCAGCTGCTGCGGCCACACGAGGCCACCGCTGCCGTCTGAGTCGCTGGATGCGGAGCTGAAGGCAGGCGACTCCCCCTCGCTGGCACTCGATTCACTCTCCCCGTAGCCGCCGCCGCCGCCGCCGCCCGCAGGGCCCCGGCGTCCAAGGGGCCCCAGGCGCCCCGTCGAGCACTCGGAGTCGCTGCCCGCACAGCCGTAGAGCAACCGGCGCTGAGGAGCAGACGGGGATGGGCCAGGACCTGGGCCACGGGCGGCGGGGGCGCGGGGACGGCCGCGGCGCCCGTCGGCTGCGTCGATCTCGGCCGTGGAGCGCCAGCGGCGGCAGGACCCCGCGGCCTGCGCGGCCAGGGTGGGTGCTGGGCCGCGGCGGGGCCGCGGAGGCCGCGGCTCTTCCCGCTCCGCCGTGGGGTACTTGGGAGGCCCCGGAGGCACCGCAGCGGCGCGGCCCAACAGACTGGTCTCGGACTGGGAGCGCGCGGCCTTTCGAGCCCTGGGCGAGCCTCGGCGGCCCGAAGCCTCTGTCATGCGTCCGCGGCGGCCCGCGGCCCTAGGACGCTCCCGGGGTGGGGACTGCTCCACGCTGCGGCCCCGGGTTAGTGGTGGCGCTTTGCGGCGGGCCGCGCGGCCAGGGAGGCCGCGGGTGGCCGCCTGGGCGCCTGGGATGTACTGCGCCTTCACCAGGCGGCCCTCGGCCGGGCTGTCCGGGGGCGAGGGGACAGCGGGCGACGCAGCGGGCTCTGGCGCCGCCTCCGACTCCCATGGCGAGGCCCAGGCCCGTCCCAAGGCGGCCGGACTCGAGGGACGGCCCCCCGCGCGCTCCACTGGGGGCTCAGGCGCGGGCCGCGCGCCTCCGGGGGGCGGGGACGCGTCGGGCGGCCGCTGGCGCACGCTGTTCTGGCGCCGCGGGACCCCGTCCGCGCCCCCGGGACTGGTCCGGGGCTGGCCCGCCCCCCGGCGGCGGCGCCTGCGCAGGAGCGCCGAGATGTAGCCGTCCAGGGGCCGCCCCGCGCCCGGTACGTCTGGCGAGTCTGCCGGAGGACGACCGCAAGGCCGCGGGCTGCGCAGTGCCACGGCGTGCAGGGGGCTGGGCGTCAGGAAGGGCCCTGCTCGGGCGCGCCGCTCCGCTGAGGAGCAGGCCTCCGGGCCCGCAGACCCCGCGCCCGTCGGATAAGGGGCGGAGAAGGACCGCGGCACTGGTGCCCGAGCTCCCACCGCCTCGGGAGCGCTGGGACTGGCGTCTCCTAGGGTAGAGAAGCAAAATTTAAAAAGGAAGAGTGGGAGAGGCTCTCAAAGCCCTTCCTCAAAGAGCCTAACGGGGACATTTACCCCGCTATTGTCCCACTCCCATTAAAAACAAAACAAAAAACCGTGCTCTCGCCCCTTACCTTACATCAGATTCATAACAAAAATCTTCACAGTAGCCTACAAAACCCTGATTGGTCTGTCCTGCCTCTGCCTCTCGGGCCTCCATTTCCGACCCCTCTGCAGTTTGTTTATAGGCCTTTATGTCTAGGGCGAGTGACCTGGATGCGCACGCCAGTCAAGCGCCGGTCTCGGGGCCTTGGCACTTGCTATTCCCGATTCCTGCAACGCTCTTCTCTCGGGATATGTGACTGGTCCTCTAACTTCAGGGCGCCCTGCCACTCACATGGCGCAGTCTCAGTGATGCCCCCTCTGACCGCATTTCGTAAGACTGCAACCCTTCCCCACCTCAAAGGGACGTGCGCTAGTCCCCTTCCCTAATTTTCTTGTCATTGCCCAAGTCAATATCTAACACCCTATATATTTTACTTATCTTGTGTGTTACCTATTTCACCCACCAGAACGTCAGTTCTGTGAGAAGAAGGACTGTTTTCACTGCTGTATCCCTCATGGTTAGGATGGTGCCAGGGTAGCACGCAGCGGGGGGTGAGGGGGGGCAGGAACGTACTTGCATAAGTGAGTAACAGCAGTTCCTGATTCCTGAGAGGCTCCCCTGCGCCAAGTCCAGGGCCTTAAGGCAGAGGCTCACTGAATACTCAAAACTTCCCTATGAGGTAGGTGCTGTTATTAACCCCATTTTAACAGACAGGGAAACAGAGGACCAGGAAGAAGTGACATGCTCAAAATCACATGAAAGGGAATGTCACAGCCAGGATTCAAATTCAGGTTGGCCTGACTCAGAAGTGTGTGCTCAAAACCATCTTCTCACGGTCAGTTCCCTGGCTCTCAGGGACCCCACCCCACCCACCTTACCTAGGGACTTGGGCCTCTCGCTGGCATAGATGCCCCGGGGTTCAGAGGGACCCAGGCGTCCATAGGAGCCAGATCCAGAGAAGCCACTGTCCCCGCAGAATGTCGATGGTGGCGAGTCGGGACCTACTGTGGAGCTGGGGTCTTCATAGAAGCCTGGAGTGGGGAGAAGCGGAGAGACAATCAGGGGGCCTGGCTGGGGGAAAAAAGGTGGCCAAGCAACAGAGACAGGGGAGTCTGAGAGATGGGGGACAGTGGGAAACACTGGGGTGTCCCGGGCCGACCCCGGACCCTTCACCAATGCTCACCCGAGCTGCGCCCGCTCTCCTGTTCCAGGCCCCCAGACTCCAGGCTCAGGTCTCCCAGCTGCTGGCCCAGGTCCCAGATGAGCCCGGGCAAGGCCTCCTGAAGGCATGGCGAGAGCAGGACGGTCAGAGCCCAGGCTGCTCCCAGTCCTCTGCAGGCTGGTCCCCCATCCCAGGAGCTCATAGGCAGAGTTTCACTTCGACAATGAGGCTCTGTCTTCAAAAACTGTAAAAGCAGGACCTACATCCCAGGATTCCAACCCCCGCCCCCCTTAAGATCTCTGCACCTTCATCCCATGAAAAAGTCCTTCTGGCGGACTCCAGTCCTTCCAGCTGCAACCACGTCATTTCCTTTAAGGTGTGATGAGGCCTCAGAAGGTCCCATTCCCTCCCCCTCCCCTTCTCCCATCTGTGCTCATGGCCCCTCGACCCCTATTAAAATGTCCCTCATTGAGACTAACTCTGCTTCTTGCTGCTTCACTTCACTGCTAAAAGCTGGTGTCCAGGGCCTAGCGGGTCCCTTCGCCACCATTCTGCCTTCTCCCAGTCCTGGGCTTTTCCTTCTCGGATGCTCCCACCTTCCCCCATGGCCCCTTAGCCAGCAGGAGAGAGGTCTTTTGCAAACCTTCCTGAGTCCTTCCTGGTGCAGGCTGACCCCTTCCCTCACTTGGATAAAATAGACTGGCTAAGACTCCTATGTCTTTGCTCCTCACTTCAGAAAGGACACCCATGCCTACTGGGAAGTCCTTCCGTGAGTCTAGCCTCAGTACAATGAGCCCTGGCAGCTTCCATTGCTCCCGGGACCACATCGGCCTCCTGCTCTTGCTTCGTTAAGCCCCCAGGGCCCACCCACTGCTCCTCATCCTCATGAGAAACTTGTTGCATCTACCCTGGCTCCTTCTTGCTGGGGGGGTGAGGGGGAGACCATTCCTTATCAGGTGTGAATAAATGAAGGTGAAAACGCTTTGAGGGGAGTGTGACAGTGAGTTGGGTGGGACTAGGAGCTGAAACAACCAGACAGGGTCTTTGAGACACTAGACCTTAACCCCATTTTAGAAAACAGAGCCAGAGCCAGGAAGAGTCTCACACGGGTCTGGGTGAGGCCAGAGGTGGCGGCAGCCAGAGCTGACGGTTGACCCTCAGACAAAAGCGGCTTGTCTGGCCGGCGGGAGAGAGGGGAGGAGGGAGGAGGGGCGGGGAGGGCAGGCGCCCGGCCCTGCCTATTTAAGGCAGAAAGACTGGCCGACTCCCTCGCAGACCCCGCCCCCCCCCAGCTTCCCACTCCGTGTCTGCTCTCCCGGGCCCCATCCTCCCCTCCCCCCAGAACAGAAGCCCCCATCTGGGCTTGTTTATGGCAGGAAAGTCAACAAGACAGTCCACTTTGGGCTCCTGCTCTGAGTGTGCAGAGGTGCTCAGGATGGCGTCATCTTTGAGCAAAACCGGGCAAAGCAGCCGACTTGTGCAGCATCAGGGGTGGCTAAGAAAAAAAAATCAGAGTCGCCCAGATACCCAGTGTCACGCCCCCCACTAATCGCCCCCTTGCTCACTGCGCTAGCCACGCTAGCCTCTTCGCTGTTCCCTGCACATGTTCCAACCTCAGTGGCGTGGGTCCCCGCACCCCCGCTCCTGGCTCACTCCAGTGCTTCATTGAGAAACTTTGCTTCCCGATCCCTTCTTTGCAACCCTCTTTCCAAAATAGCCTCCCTGTCATTCTGCACCCCTGTACTCTGCCTTTTTTCCTCCATAGCAGAAATGCCCTCCTGGCTTAAAGTCACGTGGCAGGTTGTCGTTCGCTTACTGTCTCTGTCACTGGAATGTCAGCCATCCCCCCGGAAGGCAGGGGTGCCTGTCCGTTTTGTTCACTGCCGCATCCTCCCCACCTCCAGTGCCTAGAACGGTGCCTGGCACACAGTAGGTGCTCAGGAAATGTTCACTGAAGGAACGAGTATCTACAGTGGAATACTATACAACTGTTCAAATGGACAGAGGCAGTTTCTATATAGAAGCATCACCAAGACAGGGCGCTGAGTGGAGAAAGGCAAGCGCGGGAAGTGCATTATGAGAGTGGGTTGGCATTAGCTGGAGGGCATATTAAATCCTGAAATTCTGGATCCGCCCAGAGGTCCTGATTCCAATCCAGAGCCCCCCAAATTGCATTCCTAACAGACCTCCGTGCGACGCTCTAGTCCAGTGGGCCCACATTTCAAGAACCACTGGCCTAGTCTCTGGAACCTCACCCAGGAAATTGGAATTTGTGAAAAGCAAAGCAAAACTTTATGCTTTTGGTATGTAAACTGTTTCTCTCAGCAGCTGCACCAAGAGAGATCTGGAGGAACTCACGAGGTGACAGAGGCAACTTCAGGGGAGAGGGTGCCTTTAGGAAGTCAAGTGAGGGATAAGGGGGCTGGATGATAGAATGAAGTAGTTAAGGAGGCATAGCTGGGAGCCTAATCACCAGGGTTCAAATTCAGCTCTGGTGCTTCCCAGCTGTGTGGCCTTGAGCAGGTTACTTCACCTCTCTGAGCCTTGGTTTCGTCATCTGCAACAGGGAAACCTTCAGCTCCCTCTCTCATGGGGTTGTTGTGAGGATCCAATGAGTTAAAAACAACAGTTCCTTTTAAGCACTTAATAAATGCCAGCTTTTATTATTACATGAAAACTCTGAATTTCTAACAAGGAAAATATTAAATCATGTTTTACTTGTGTAATTCAAATTAAATGTTAAATTCTTCAGGTCGAATTTCAATTCTCTCACTGCAGGGAAGGCAGGAGTGAGGGGGACAAAGGGAGAGGCCTCCTCCGCCCTTGTGCCTGGACCCCCGAACACTCCTTCCCCCAGTCTATTCTAAGTCTGACCTCATTCTTTCCAGCTGCAAAAGGATGAATCTTTCAAAGACCAGAAGGTCTTTGGTCTGAATCTGGCTCCCTGTTTGTTTGCCCACAATGCTCGGTGCACTTGAGGTCAGCGAGCTAAGGCAGGTTTAACATGAGTATGGTTGAGGCTCCCCTCACATGCCCCTAGTCTGCGTCCAACTCCCTTTGTTTCTGAGGAAGTCCTTCTACAAGTCTAACTTAAGTTCTTGCTGGAAGGGGAAATTTTTCCTTGGTGGGAGAGAACAGGACCCCAACCTCCTTCCAGAATTCTTGCCTGTTTTCTCTGCGATACCCTCTTCCTGCATCCCCATCATTCTTACTGGAAACTAATGAAGTCTGGTTCAGTGTTCTTGCTGCAAAGGGAGTATGTTCCTGGGTGGGGGTGGGTGGAAGGGGTGAGCATCCCCCTCCTAAGATAGAGGCTCAGGAAGGAGTAGAGGCCTCCACCCCTCTTCAGAAGGGCCCAGGAACCCCCAACACCAGAGGGGTTTATATTTAGCGCGTCTCAGCTCCTCACTCAGTGCCGCTGTCTCCTCCTGCTGCCTGCCACCGCCTCCTCCCTGACGCTGGGACGGAGCTTTGCCTGGAGACTGTAGGGGGAAGAGGCCTCTCTACTACCACCTCATGGTTGGGGGGGGGCTGAGGGGCAGAGATGGGGAAGCTGAAGGGGGAAGGGAGAGGAGACTGAGGCAGACATCAGGAGAGACTGAGGGGCAGGGAGTAAGGACACAGCTTGCCCATCCCCATGCCTTCTCCCGCTCCTCTTAAAGGTGGGAGGTGTCTCCCCAAGCCCAGCCTGCAGGGTGTGAGGTGGGGGGGAGCTGGTGTAGGCCCCCACAATGCGTCTCTAACTTTGGGAGGGGGTGGGGCCTCCCACAGCTGTTTCTGTTTCCAGAGAAGAATGTGCAGGGTCCCACTCCCGGGCCGGGGGAGGGGCTGGGCGTGCAGCCTAGGAGTCTGGCTTCAGTCCCCTCCCCAGTCCCCATCCGAGGTGGGGGCAGTCGAGGTCAGCAGCAGAGAGAGCCCCCTCCCCCGCCACCTCGGCTCAGGTTTCCCCAAACGGGAAGCTCTGACCACCCACAGGCTTGGGGATGGGATCTGCACTAGGAGCTGGGGTCTGGGGCCTGGCGGGCTGGGGGGAGGGGAAGAGAGAGACAGGGACCCGGACATAGGGCAGGAAGAGAGAGGTGCAAATGTGCAAGAAGAGAAGAGCAGGGAGACAGAGAGAGTGAAACAGAGACACTTTTTAAGAGAGAGAAACACACAGCGAGTCACAGAGATGTGGCGGGGGAGTGTGAGGATCCCAGGTAGAGGTCGGGAGGATCAAGAGATGACAAGAGAGGGAGGGTGAAAGATGACAAGAGTAATTCTGGAGAGTTCTGCCTCATCTTCCCCCATTAGAGCACCCAGAGAGTCCAGAGGTCAGAGCCCCCAAGCTGCCTCAACCTGCCTCCTCTTGGGTTAACCAGGGTTGGGACCAGGTAGGAAAGGAGGGAAAGTGTCACAGGAGGGTCAAGATTACCGTGGGGTCCTCAGAAACTGGGAGCTTCCTCTCAGCAGTCACCCCTCCCTCTGGAGGCCGTAAGATTCCCACCTTCCATCTGGCCCCCTCCAGAGATCTCCAAGCTCACCAGGACTTCGGGGAGATGGAGCCCTGGTAGCCAGGGCCCAGGGTGGGGCATGCTTGGATCCCAGCTGTGTGACCTTGGGTGAGTCGTTTGCCCTCCCTGAGCCTCAGTTTCTTTCTCTGTAAAATGGGGACTGTCACCCCTTACCACCCAAGCTACAAGAAGACAACGCATACGGAACACTGGTCCCCGGGCTTGACACATACTTGGTGCTCAGAAGGATTTTCTTTGGGGAAGGGGTGGAGGGGACGGGGCCTTGTGCATCTCCAGAGGCTCCAGCGGAGGCAATGCAGTCCCCCCTTTCCCAGTTTGCGGGGTGGGGAGGCCACATCCCTCCCGCCACCCAGACTCCAAGGTCTGCAGCCCCACCCCCTGCCCTTCGCCCCTCCCTTCCCCCCACCGGGACGGGTGTATGAACGTCTAACCCAAACGGACAGACAGACAGACAGACAGACACAGATGGGTGCGGAGGGACGGACGGACAGGCGGTCCCTCACCAGCTGCTCTTCCAGGGCCGCTGCGGCCCGCCGCGCCGCCGCCGCATCTTCATCCTCGTCGGCGTCCTCCTCGTCCTCGGCCTCGGCGCCCCCCATTCCGGGCTGGGCCAGCCGCAGCGCCTGCTGCACGCGGTACTCCTGCCTCTCCCGTAACCAGTGCAACTCACAGAGCCCAGCCAGGCTGCCCTCCAGCCAGCCCCGCAGCCGGCCCCGCTCGGGGCTCACCGGGAACGAGAAGGCCCGGATCATGGCTGCGGCCCCCCGCCCCAGCCCAGCCGGGCCCCGCGGCCACCCCTCTCCGGGTCCCACCTCCCCGCCCCAACAGCCCGCCTGCCCGCCCGCCCGCTGGCCCGGCTGTCACCGTCTCATCTGCATAGACGCCCGCCCATTGGGCCGCCCACCCGCGCCTTATCTGCATGGCCACGCCTCCGGCCACACAGCAACGGTCGCCTATTGCTCGGCCATGCACCCGCCCCTCCAACACGACGCATGCTCGCAGCTGCCTACTCGCTGTGCTCTCAGGCGGCCTTGACACGCCCCCCGCTAGCCTGCCACTGGCCCATGGCCACGCCCCCCAGGCGTCACAATGAAATAAGCCTGGACTTGCTCCATTGCCATTGGTGCGTGCTTCCCCAGATCCCGCAGCTGGTTCCGCCCCCTTGTGGGCGAGCTCTGGCAACCATTGGACCGTCTATCAAGAGGGGAGGAGGTGTTCTATAAATACAGAATGGGTCCAGGAGGCAGCTGGGAGATGTCCCTCTTCCCTCAACCCCTCGAAGCCCTGAACAGGGAGAGGAACGGGTTAGAGCATCGAACCTTGATTTTGCCTCCTCTTCCAGGAAGCCTTCCGAAACATTCAGCTGTAAAACTAGAGGGCCAAGCTAGCTAAGATAAACAACCTCCCATAAAATTATACTTATAAGCAGGTCCGGCTTCAACTGAGTGCAACCAGCTTGGTTTTGATGTTTTGCTGTTACTATCTTGAAATTCTTAATTTTTGAACAAGGGGCCTCGCGTTTTCATTTCACATTGGGCCTCGCAAATTATGTAGTCAGTCGTGCTCCTCAGAGTTTAAGATCAGTTATAACTCAAATTCTGGAATTGTAAGACCCTGGGTGGAAGATCCTATGATTCAACCAGAACAGAATCTAAGCGTCTTTTGTCTCCCAGACGCTGAGAGGCTCTGCGCTCGCCATTCTGCGATTCCAGGGGTCTTTGTTCTACGTTCTAAGAGGCTTTGTTCTCAGCCTTCTAAGATGCTGTGTTCTCAACGTTCCATGCTCCTAAGAGCCTGAGCCTGATACGCGTTTCCAAGGTTCCCTCCTCCCTCTCTGGGCTCCGCGAGTGGGACTGGCGCCCCCTCAGGCGGCCAGCCTGTGTCACTACACGGAGTGTGCAACCTTCAGTGAGATCTAGCTCCAATATTCATAACCATTTCTCAGACAGTCCTTGACTGCTTAAAAGCCAGCGCTCAGAAGGTCACGTGAGAACCTCCCTCTTTTATGAGCTGAGCTGGAGGGATAGTGAGAATGAGAGAATGAGAGCAAAGAACGACAAGAATTAGCCCCAACTCTGCCACTTTCCAGCTGTGTGACCTTAGGAAACTTGCTTGACCTCTCTGTGCTTCAATTTCCTCATCTGTATAATGGAGGTCAGAATACTGCCTACCTCAGAGAGTTGTTATGGGGATTAAGTGAGATATTTGTCAAATGCTTGGAGTGTTGTCTTCCTTGTAAAAAGAGCCACAGAAGGATCTGATAAGCAAGTGAGAAAGCAAGCAAGCAAACAAACAAATAATCTAGAGTACAAAGGAGAAAAATAAGTCTGGACTTCAGTAGAGACAAACTTTATTCAATCACCCTCTTGTTTAAGACAGACCTAGACTGTGCCTAATGACCTTAATTTTCCAACATGGGAAGACAATTGGGATGGATGGAAGGGAGACCTGGGGAGCTTGCTCTCAAACCAGGTTGTCTCAGTAGTTAGTGTCTGGGGCGATGTCAAGATTGGTTTTTCATCCCTGCTGTTCGTGCAAGACCAGTTGAACCATTTGCTGTGTAAAATATTGGATCTCAAGCTGATACAGGGGTCCGGTCCACAGGCATTTGAAGATGAATATTCCTGGAAGATAAATTAAAATGGTTTGAATAAAGGAGTAAAATCAAGATTTGAGGCCAGAGGGCAGCCAGCTGAGAGGGTTCTGAGAAGGTGAAGAGAGGTCCTTGGTTGGTAGAGCCAGAACAGCAATTCTGCAGATTTCTTTGTTGTTCCTATCGATGTTCTTATCGATAATTACAATACCTGCAGAGTTCCTGGAAATGATCATGCTGCATTGCTTCCAACCAGAGCCCAAAAGTCCCTTCCCTGGCAGCTCCTAACCTGTTGTCCAAATATGGTTGGAGGCCATATTGAATCCTCGGAGTCCACCTCCAAGCATCTAGTTTCTTGTTCCAAGGCTTCATTGGATCCGAATGAATAAGGAGATCACAGTCATCCTGGATCTTGTGCTTGTGTGGCAATTTTCAGCTTCCTTAGGATTCAACAGATCTCTTATATTTGTGAGGAGTTGGGGGTTTCAGAGGAGAAAGAGCGAAACGTGGGTTTGGATTGAATTCGAGGGAACCAAGCTCTGATAAAGACTTTCAGGACTGGCCAGAGCGCAGGAGTCAGCCCCGGGGGCAGGTAGATATGAGCCAGTGAAATCCACACACGGAAAATAATGCATCATTGGCGGGGGGCTGGGGAGGGCAGGGTGGTGAGCCAAGTCTCATGGAGAAAATGGTCTTACCTATTTGAGTGGTCAGAAAGCAAATGGTGATTAAAGGTGGAAAACCAAGGAGAAGATGCAGGGACAAGACTGGGACCAGGAGATGAGTCACAAGAAGAACAGCGCCACTGACACCAAGAGAGAGTGTTGGCAGCATCGGCTGACTTGGGATGGTTAATATTTTGATAGCTGGAAACCTGGGCGAGTTCAGTGAGGAGGTGGTTCCTGCCATTCAGGTTGTTACAGTGTCATTTACTACATAAAAGGTTCGGTGATGAACAGAGACCGTGTCCCGCGAAGGGGCCGTTAGGGAGGCAGTGGAAGAAGCACAGAAACCCTGATTCATAGACGGTGGGAATAGGAAGAGGCTCTGGTAACACTCTAGCGGTGAGTTGGGAGGGGTTTTTGAGGAGGCACATGAGACAATGCTCAAGCCATCTGCAAGGATCCTATTTCCAAATTAGGTCACATTCTGAGATATTGGGGACGACTTCAACGTCTTTTTGGGGGAGACACAATTCAACTCATGTCAGGCCCAGAAACCATTGAAGTTGCATTTTAGTCTTGGGTAAGGATAAAATTAATGATGGGATAAATGCGTTCTGTGGATAAGGCTGCTGCTTCGGGTGCAAGGTCATGTCCTAAATTGTGTACTTCGGACTGACATAGTTGTAATTTGTCCCTGGATACTGTGTGTCCTTATGAGCAAGGGCTTGGGCGTAGATATTGAGTGTCAGTGAGTGAGCTGTTGAAATGAACTGAGCAGATAAGAAGACCACCCACATCTCGGATTAGAGAGGAATTGCAAGGGAAAACCAAATCTTTCAAATTAGCATTTAGAGTCCTAGGAAACTGGGCTTCAGTGGGATGCGGAGGCATAACCATCTGTCCGTGGGTATTGTTGACTTTCCCAGGTGAAATCAAGAAAAGGTTGTGAATGGAGATGAAGAGATATGTGAAAGAAAGCAAAGGATGCCCTAATGGATGTGGCTCAGTTGGTTGGGCGTCCTCCTGCAAAGCAAAAGTTCACGGGTTCAATTCCTGGTCAGGGCATATGCCTAAGTTGTGGGTTCGGTCCCCAGCTGGGGCATATGTTGGCTAATTACATTAGAGTTTATTTGGGTAGGAAATGGTGAGGAAGAGCTGAAGATACCAATAACAGAAGATGCTCTGAGTGACAGCATTAAATGAAAAAACAAACAACAGTTTGCAACAGTATCTACTGTGCACTCTCGTTTGTGTTTTTATTTTTTTCTATTTTTTTGAGGAAGAAATATAACTTCAGTGAAGTTTATTATATGGTAGCATACAATAGCCTATGAGAGCCAGGACACTGCAAAAAGTAGAAAGCTTACATTTTAAATATTATTTCACCTTTAAAATGGCATTTTATTTCCTTGTGGACAAAGACACTTAACATGAGACCTTCCTTCTTTTTTGTAAAATCCTCACCGAGGATATGCTCATCGATTTTGTTTTTTTAAAAAATCTTATTTTATTAATTTTAAAAAGAGGGGATAAGAGGGAGAAAGAAAGGGAGAGAAACATTGATGTGAGAGAGAAACATCACTCATTTGCCTCCTGTCTGCGCCCCAGTGGATGTTTTCTCGTTCTCTCTTTCTCCCTCCCTTCCCCTCTCTAAAAATAAATAAATAAAAGAAAGCAAAATGTTAACCCAGTAAAGGTGGCAGCATCAGAAGGCATAGAGAGAGGCTTAGGCTTGACCATTTTATTTAGGACCTAGAGGTCTGGGACTAACCACATGCCAATGGTAACATCGGGGTTTTTGATGGGGAAGACGGGCGTGTTGCAGGGGCTGCAGGCGGTGTCAGGAGGCCCTGAGTGGAAGGCCGGAGGCCCTGGGAGCCTCTGGTGTCAGTACGTGGTAAAGCAGTTTCAGGAGAGGCGTGAAAGGATCTATTGCCCCAGCAAGAGGTTCAGCCTCCGAGATACACCCTAGGTCTGCTGAGTTGGAGGCCCAAAGGGAATCAGGTGGGTTGCGTAGCTTAACTTTGTGGGCCTGAGGGAGAGGTCGATGGGTTATTTGCGGGGGGAGGCAGGGGTTGGTAAGGAAGGGTAGTGGACCAAGATGAACGGGGCAGTCAGGGACCGGGAGAAATAAACGTTCTCGTAAACATGAAAGGCTAACATTCCTGATTGATAGGACATCCCCTCTGAAAAGCAGTTTGAGTAAGAAGCTGTGCTGGGTAGTAAGGGACCCAACGAGACAGAGTGTCTTAGACAAGGGCAAAACGCATGGCAAATAGTGGCATCTCATCACAGCCATCGCGGCATACTTGGGGGGAGGGCCGCGAGATACCACCAGGGTCGGGTGGCCCCTGTATCTACTAAAACGGTGGCAGCAAGCCCATTAATGGGGATGGTCATTTCCCTGTGAGGGCTGAGGGGTGTTTAGGGACAAGAGAAGAAACTCTGCTGGGAGTCATCAGCGAGACAATTTTAGGCTCAAATTCCTTTTTTT